GCAACAGTGTGCAAGCATTGTGCAACACGTTTTGTTTATGCTAACAGCAACATGATCAACATGTCATGCTAACCCCGAAATCCCACATACTCCATCAGCGCTCCGCCCCGCTGCGCTCCAGACCGGCTGCACAAAACAAAGCTACATCCTCCACTGTGGCTCCCGTCCGCTCCGCTCTGAGTTCCTTGGAGATGGTAGAGAGCATGCGGAAGATGATTAAAATGAAAGCAGCAAAACATGTGAAAATGATCCATGGTTTCCGCGAATCATTAAAAATAATTACAATTCATGAATGCTTTTTTTTTTTTAATAATTTCATTAAAAAAAAAATCATTAATTTTTTATTATTTTTTTTAATTTTTTTTTTTTTCGGTGTAACAACAAACATATACCGAACCGAACCGAAAACCGTGACCACGAAACCGTGAACCGAACCGAACCGTGGATTTTGTGAACCGTTCCACCCCTAGTAGGGATGTAGCAGCTCAGAGAGGTAGGGTGGGCTAAGGCCATTTCAGAGCTTTAACAGCAAAAAAAAAAGATTTTAAATTTAATCCTCAAATTAACTGGCAGCAAGTGTAAATAGACTATAAAAGGGGAAATATGATCAGATTACTTGTAGTTGTTAGGAGACGAGCAGCAGCATTCTGTTCCACCTAAAACTGGGAGATAAATACATCTCTGACTCCCTTTTAGAGTGCATAACAGTATCAAGCCAAATGGCTACAAAGGCATGGATTGCTGTTTATAAATGCTGATTAGTGGATAGGTTGAACTTTTGCTAGTTGCCTCAAGTGAAAAAAAGCAGCATTTTATAACAGCTCTAATATTAGTATCCACCTTAGGTCCAGCGTCTATTTTAACCTCTAAATTAGCAATAGCAGGAGAGTAACTGATAAAATAAAGAGCTATTTTATCCGTTTTGAGGAGACATCTAAGAACAGAAAGTGATGAACTGAGGCAACTCTGAACTACGGAAGCCCAAACAGCGGATTGTTGGTAAACAATCTTGATTTTCCAAAAATTCAACCCTCATAACCAAAAGTTTTAATTAATCAATGATTAATTATTAGCTCTACCATAATCAGGCCTTTATCGTGCAAAAGGTCCAAATAGGAAAGTGTAATGAAGGGGGAAAAAAAATATTAAAATTGATTAAAAGTAAAATTTATTAAAATTATTTTATTTAATATTTATTTAAAGCACATTTTATTACGTTTGACTTATTTTGTGGATATTATATGATTAATTTTATTCATATTAAAAATCACTGAATGTTAGTTGAACATATGAAGACATAAAATGACATAATTTATTAACATCAAATTTGGGGTTAGGGTCTACATTTAAAAAAAATAAAATAACAAGACCAGTCTGTTCATCTCATTTCTATCATTTCTTATTCAATAAATAATATATATCTCAGTGAGGAGGCTGGATTGTTTCGCCTTGGAATGTTCTTTTCTAGAGAGGTCCAGTGTTCCAGAGATGGGGGGGGGGGTAGCCTCTATGTTCTGCCAGCTCTTTCGTTTCTTCTGCCAAACATGAAGATTGGTAGCATTTCTGTTGAAAAATTACTTTCTCCTGACTTTTGCTCTGAATGGATTAACACGTGGCGGAGAGGTTAAAATGTTAATAAAAGGAGGTCAGATCAGATTATAAGAGCGTTTATATGAGTTGTTTGGTTGTTAGAGTAGGAACCTTCTGACATAATGGATCAGATCTTCGGTTTGAGGGATTATTAAGTTATACTTTATATTCCTCTGTATTCTCTACAATATATGCTTTTGTTGTGTGATATAAATAGGATCAATTTATGTTTATACACACTCACACCCCACATACACACATATATACATATAATCTATATAGCGGAAGGCAAACAGATCTGCTAAATCACTTTGGCACAAATCACTTTGTACCTCCTGCTCCAGCATACAAACATGTTTGAACCTGCTTAAAGATGTGCAAACCTTCAGGCCCTAAGGCCCCTACACCACATTACAGACCTGTAATCAGTGGATCAACAGCCCAGACCTGGGAGGTCCTCTCTTTGAATAGAGTGGAGTGATGCGTAGAGGACCTGGAATTCCCTCTTTGTGTAACTTCCGGTCAACTTTGCTTGGATTGTAACAAAGAAAGACCTATATTTTGGATCACATTGGTATTTTATTGTC